GAACCCGCCAGCCTTGGTGTATGTGGCTGGAGCCATAACCACTGTGCTATGGGCACCAAGCCCAGAGTGGATTTCTTAATGGATTTTCTTGTTTCCCGGTCATAGAAACTACTGATGCTCAAGGCAATAGAGTAAGAGAGCATCAGCCACTTTATTTTAAAATCCTTAAGGAATTAAAACAAACTTGTGCCCAATATGGCCCAAAGGACCCTTTTACCCTTGCTTTAGTAGATACTTTCTCTGATAATGCCTTACTACCTAATGATTGAAAATCTGTAGCTTGGGCCTGTATTACAGGAGGTGATTATTTGTTATGAAAATCAGAATGGGCACGTAGAGCCACAGAGCAAATAGCATAACAGACAATATATTTCTTTTACTATGGATGTCCTTTTGGGTGAAGGTGCCCAGGCAGCAATGGATGCTCAATTAAATTACCCTCCTGAGGTACACCAACAAGTCAATCAATTGGCAATATAGCCTGGAGAAAATTGCCTACTTCAGGTGCAAAGACAGAGGAACTCAGTAAAATCTGTTAGGGCACAGACAAGCCTTACCAGGATTTCATCTCATGCCTTTTACAGGCAATCAGCCATATTGTTGTTGATGGTAAGGCTGGCTGGCATGATACTTGTTAAACAATTAGCTTATGAAAATGCCAATTCAAATTGCCAGACTGCTATCTGCCCACATAGAAAAAGGGCTCCATTTCAGATTATATTAGACTTTGTGCAGACATAGGACCTTTTTATATTCAAGGTCTGACTATGACCACAGCTTTAAGAGATGCAAGCTTTAATGCCTGTCCCTCTAACATTGCCATCCTAAACCGACCAATAGTCAAAATCAGAGGGGAAGCTGCTTCCATTGTGGACAACCTACTCATTTGTTAAAAATTGTCCAGTAATGGCTCCTGCTACTGCTAACAATCAATCTCTGGTTAACTCTCGCCCTGCATCTGTTCAGGCCCCTTCGAGCTTATGTCCTCTTTGTCTCCAAGGAAAACATCAGGCTAATGAATGTAAATCTAAATAAGACGTTAATGGAAATTCCCTTTTGGGAAATGGATCACGGATCACCACTCCCAGCCCTGTCAAATGTAGGGGCAATGTCAGTTTGCCCAAAGCAAGTTCTTCCCCCACAGCCAATCACCCAAACATAACTTTATTAGGTTCTAGTCTTTTCTGCAATGCCAACTCATGGAATGAGACACATTTGTTTAAACTGATGTGTTCTCAAGCGGCTAAGGCGCCAGCCACATACACCTGAGCTGGCGGGTTCGAATCCAGCCTGGGTCGCCAAACAACAATGATGGCTGCAACCAAAAAATAGCCGGGCATTGTGGTGGGTGCCTGTAGTCCCAGCTACTTGGGAGGCTGAGGCAGGAGACTCGCTTGAGCCCAGGAGTTGGAGGTTGCTGTGAGCTGTGATGCCACAGCACTCCACCCAGGGTCACAGCTTTAGACTCTGTCTCAAAAATAAATAAATAAATAAACTGATGTGTTTATAGGATGGAGAGACTGGCTAAAAGATACAAAATGATATATAGTAGTCAGATTTGTTCCAATTTGTTTTTTTCTTTCCTGCTTCTTTTTTTTAATTTGAATTTTATTTTATTATTATTGTTTTTTATTAAACCATAACTTTGTACATTGATGCATTTATGGGGTTCAGGGTTCTGCTTCAATATACAGTGTGAAATGCTTACACTGAACTAAGTAACACATCCATTACAATTATACTCATTTCTTAATAGTTTTATTTTATTTTATTTTATTTTTTGCAGTTTTTGTCCGGGGCTGGGTTTGAACCCACCACCTCCAGTATATGGAGCTGGCGTCCTACTCCTTTGAGCCACAGGCACTGCCCTTGTTAATAGTTTTGAAATGTACCATTGCGTCATGCACATTAAGTGAGGTCCCCCCAAATACCCTCCCTCCTCCCAAATTCCTCCTCCCCTCCCCCTCTCTCCTCTTCCCTTCCTTTCCTGCTTCTTATCCTAAGATAACATATTGGATTTTAATATGTAAAATATTTAAATTTCAAAGTGGGGGCCGAAAGAAATTAGAAATATTTACCCCAAAATACATTTTTTGACATATTTTTGGATGGCTGCCACAGAAATAACACTGCAAAATTTACTGAAAATACTAGTCCCTATCTAGAGAGTATATGCCAATAGAGACGTAATTAGAAATTTGTCCAGAACCCTTGAACTGATCACAGAAGAAACTGCAAAACCCTTGAGGCTCAACAAACATCACTCCACTCACTAGCTCAGGTATTCCTAGATAATCAGGCAGTGCTTTGGGTACACTGGAGGGAGTCTGTGCAGTATTAAACACTCCCTGCTGTGTTTATATAGATACCTCAAGTGAAATTGAAAACCCGAATAGAAAAATACAGCAACAAGCTATATCACTACTGTAGGGCTCTACCAGGGCCCCCCACACCTGATTAGCAACATGACCTCATACCAAAGCCAGATAAAGAAAACGACAGACAACGTCCCTAAACTCACTGATGAAAAAAATCCCAAATCAGCACTGGGCACAATGACTCACACCTGTAATCCTAGCACTCTGGGAGGCCAAAGCAGGTGGAGTGCCTGAGCTCTTAGGTTCGAAACCACCCTGAGCCAGAGTAAGACCTCGTCTCTAAAAATAGCCAGGCATTGTGGTGGGCGCCTGTAGTCCCAGCTACTTGAGAGGCTGAGGCAAGAGAATCACTTGAGTCCAAGAGTTCAAGGTTGCTATGAGCTGTGATGCCAAGGCAGTCTACACAGGGCAACAAAGTGACATTCTGTCTCAAAAAAAGAATCTTATCAACTGCACAAAAAGCTTCGATTTTTATACCGAAGCTAATATTGAGTTGCCCTTGAATTTACATTCCTTGTTTTGCTCAGCAAAGCAATCTCCTGAGCACAGACACTCCACACGCACCATTACAGGGTGACCATTTATTCTTCATCTTCTTTTTTTTTTTTTTGAGAGAGAGAGAGTCTCACTTTGTCACCCTTGGGAGAGTGCCTTGGCATCATAGTCCACAGCAACCTCATACTCTTGGGCTCAAGCGATCCTCTTACCTCAGCTTCCCAAGTATCTGGTGCCCAGCTATTTTTAGAGACCGGGTCTTTCTCTTACTCAAGCTGGTCTTGAACTTCTGACTCAGGCAATCCACCGCCTCGGCCTCCCAGAGTGCTAGGATTACAGGTGTGAGCTGCTGGGCCTGGCCTTACTCTTCATTTCATCCTGTTTCTCATCATCTTCATCACCTTCCCCTTCCCCCTCCTCATCTTCTGATTCATTCCTCTTCTCTGAGCCTGTTGCCCTGTCAGGGCCCTTCTTTCCTGCTTTGCTCTTGCCCTTGACACAGTTTACAGCAACATCCTTACACATTTCTCCTTTAGCTTAGCTGCTTTCTGGTCATATGGTTGTTTATCTTTGGATGACTGTTCAGACCACATTTCACCCCAGTTTTTCTGTAGTATCCCCAATGAGTAGGCCTGGGTGTTTACTTTCAATCTTTGGACAACATTCACCAGAACAGGAAGAAGTCAGATGATGGCCTTTTAGGAGCACTGGGATTTTTTTTTCCTTTCCTTACTTACCACCTTTGGGAGGAATATAATTTTCATCTTCTTGTCATAGTGAGCTTTGTCACTTTTTGCCATATTTTTAAACTTCAATTTTTCTTTCCTTTTTTTTTTTCTTCTGAGACAAATTCTTACTCTGTTGCCCCTGGCTAGAGTGCCATAGCATAATAGCTCACAGCAACCTTAAACTCCCAGGCTCAAGTAATCCTCTTGCCGGATGAGCTGGGACTACAGGCGCCTACCGTCATGCCTGGCTAGTTTTTCTATTTTTAGTAGAGACAGGGTCTTGCTGTTGCTCAGGCTGGTCTTGAGTTCCTGAGCTCAAGTAATCCACTCACCTCAGCTTCCCAGAGTACTATGATTACAGGCGTGAGCCGCCGCGTCATCCTAAACTTCAACTTTTCATTTGCAGACATGGTCTTCCATCTCTCTAAATATTTCTTAGGGAATTTCAGACGGTAGAAGAGTCTAGGTATTTCTTCTTGAGAGAGATGAGGTGGCACTGTGACAAAGACTTGGCCCAATGTTGCTGGACCTTGGGGAGGTTTGGGAGAGGGGTGTTGAGACAAAGTCTTGCTCTGTGGTTCAAACTAGAGTGTGGCAGTCATCTCAAGTCATCACAGCTTGCTGCAATCTCAAACTCCTGGGCTCAAGCAACCCTCCTGCCTCAGCCGCCCAGAGTGCTAGGATTACAGGTGTGAGCCACCAAGTTGTTGGATTTTAAAATGGAGGAACAAAACAATAAAATGCAGGCAGCTTAAAAGCTGGAAAAGACTAGGAAGTGGATTCTCCACTAGAGCCTCCAGAAGGAATATAGCCCTGCCAACACAGTGATGTTTGCCCATGAGAATTGTTTCAGACTCCTGCTCTACAGAAGTGTAAAACAATAAATTGTGCTTCTTTTAAGCCACGAGGTTTGTGACTTGTTATGAGAGCAACAAAAGGCATGTGAGATAGAAGAAAATCATCCACCATATATCTAATAAGATCAAATAGAAGCAGCACAATATTTTTTAAATAGCTGAGAATTTTCTGGAATTGAGGAGATGAATCTTGAGATTGAGGGATCACAGCAGGGTCCAAACATGATCAATATAAAGTATCTATAACCATAAACACTATAGTGAAACATCCAAGGCTGAGATAAGTCATAAAAGCAAACCAAACCTCAAGCATAGGCAAGAATAAGACAACCAGAACTCTCTTGCCAGGAAGGTTACAAATGTCAGTGGTCAACCAATTCTATCAGTATTCAAAGTTAGCCTCTAGGTGTGGCCCATGTGCCTTTAATCTGGACATTCCTGGGTCCCAGCACATGTTCAGAGAAGAATTCACACAAAGGAGATGGAAGGAAGCTGTTTCCACAGGGAGAGATTTCCTTTCTACCTTGTTCTCAGTCTTCTGCTTCAAGGTAAGAAAGAGGCAATGATGGGGGAAAGGAAGAACCATCTCTAGTAGAACACTGAAGTTCTCCTTTCAAATTTCCAACTCCTAGAGATTATCTAAGATGGGCATAGTTCTTTCATGACTGTGTTACCGTGATGCCCAAATAGACTTTCCTTCTCTGAATTATGGGAAATCCCCTTCTAGTTACGTCCCACGCAAGAGCACTTCTATTTCCCTTCCTGTGAGTCATCCACTATTGTCTTCTCTTCCATTCAGCTTCTGTCCCCACCCAGCTTTCTACCCACAGGTGTATGTAATTGTTTCTCTCTGCAGGTATGAAACTCACCTGCTAGTCAAATGCCCACTCTAGCCATTACTTCCCCATCCACCTACTGAAACCAAGGGCTACAGGTTATTAGGTAAGATGTCAGAGGGCAACAAGTCAAAGGTGAAAACAGAGTGTGCGCTTCTCTTCCAAGGAGTTAACATGGTAGAGTAGCAAGAATAAGAGATTTGGAGACAGTCAGACCTGGGTTTGAATGTCGGTCCCTCACTTTGCTAGTTGTTTAACCTTGGGTGAATTTAATTTCTCTGAGCTCCAGTCTCCTCATCTGTAAAATCAGATCAACCTTGTAGAGTTTTGATGATTCAATTAGAGAAGGTAGGTAGTACAGTGCGGGGCATTTGTTAAGTGCCAATAAATGTCATCTCTTCCCCTTTCGTTGTCATAGAACTTCTGATAAGGGAGCATAGGAGAGGCCTGGATGAGAGGTCGCTTCAAAAGCTAGTACAGAGGAGAGACCCAAATTGTACATTTGATCCAGGCAGTAGGAACATTTTAAAAGCTCCTCTGGGCACTAACAGACAGGGACTGACTTATTATCTGTCCACCCTTGGAAATTCATTTCCTTTTGTTGCTTCTTAGTTAAGTTGTCTGTTACAGTAGTACAAAATGAATATTCTAATGATTCAAGGACAGATGTGCCTGGAAAACTCTGTGACTTTGGGAATGGACAAGGTTTGATGTACTTGGCACAGGGATCGTCAGCCATCTCTCATTACAGATTGTTGCTTCTTCAACAAATCTGTACCAGTAGAAAACTAATAAACATGGACAATTACTGTATGTACATTAAACATAAAATTAACATTCTTTTTAAAGCCTCAAACTAGAAAGCTGATAATGAGGTTACCCATTAAAGTTGGGAGAAGGAAGGTTGAAACAGTTAAGAAATAAGTGTGTTGTCTTTGGGCCCCCGGACAGTAATCCCACCTGATGACTCTCACTGTTCCAGGGCTCAGTTTGCATACAGATTTGGGCACGCTTTGCTTGTAGACAGGAATATTACACGGGAGGCAGGAGCCCTAACTCAGCTCACCACATTAACTTCCATCATTTGCATTTCAGCCCAGCCCAACCCTCTGGCCTGGGCAGGAAGCACCCAGCGCCTCCCTCCCCCATTCTTCATGTCATCACTCAGCCAGATAGCAGGGCGGCGGCTACCAAACCTGAGATCACACCAAGTCCAGCTTCTGCCTCTTATTATGTGTCCAACCTTGGGAATTCATTTCCTTATGTTGCTTCTTAGTTGTTTATTACATTAGTATAAAAACAATATCTACTGATGGAGGATTGGAAAGATTAAATGGGATAATCTTTTGGGGCTTAGAATACACCAGATGCATAGTCAATGTTCAATAAATGTTATCATTATCATCGGCCAGGCGAGGTGACTTGGGCCTGTAATCCCAGCACTCTGGAAGGCTGAAGTGGGTGGATTGCTTGAGCTCAGGAGTCAAGACCAGCCTGAGAGAAACTCTGTCTCTACTAAAAGTAGAAAAATTAGCCAGGCATAGTGATGCACGCCTGCAGTCCCAGCTACTTGGGAGGCTGAGGCAGGAGGATTGCTCAAGCCGCAGAGTTTAAAGTTGCTGTGAGCTACAATTATACCCTGGCACTCTACCCAAGGTGAAAGACTGAGACTCTGTTGGCCAGGTGAGGTAGCTCACTACTGTAATTCTAGCACTC